ATATCTAAAGTCAAGAGTTCAGGCTAAAATTATGTTTTTGAATAATTTCTGGCATGTCTTGCTTTAAGAAAACAAATCATTCAAAAAATTTAATTTATAAATCAGACTAAGGCAGTAAAATATTTTTTGGAAAGGATCTAGGTTATTGTTTTATATTAATCTACTACCATGGATTTAATGGATGGTATTTTTCTAGTAAGATTAATTGGTGGTTCAAAGATAATTTAGGCAAATAAGTTAAGCTCAGTTTTTTCATCTCTAAAAAAGGTATGAAAATACCTACATCATTGGATAAACCCAGCTACCACACAGGCTGCAGTGGGCAGCATTTCTATTTTATGACTTACTAGTAATGCATTCATGACCCAGCTCAAACACTACCTCCTCAGCAAAGCCCATCCAGTACTTTCCCAGGCAGGATTTGCTCTCTTTTTCTGGGTTCCCCTAACATTTAGACAGATGCTAATCTGCAAGAGCCAGAAATATATTTTAATTGTGTTTTTGTTCTTTTACCTCACTGCCCTACCTCTCTCCTTCCTCCCCCTCTGAAAGAAGAAACTAGCATGATTCCTGGCACTTGGCATGGAATGATAGGGCCTGTCTCATCTAACAGATTAAGCAAATGGATTTTTGAAAAAAGTCTTTTCTCTATTATGTTTTGGAAAATCAAGCACAGCCGTTTTGTCCAGGACCTTTTTGTATGAATATGAGCAACATCAGCCAGCTCCTGTTTCTTAAGTTGCAAGAGCATCTACTATGTGCAAGGCACTTTAAGTCACAAAGGCTAAAGGTAGAAAAATAAAAAATATCACAAATGAAATTGTGCTTATTTCTCCTTTATATTTGGTATTATCTCATAAGATATTTTTGCTTGATTATTATAGAAATACATAAACTACAAAAATAGAATTGTAAGTTGTTCATTATTTTCTATAGGCACATTTGGATTTCTAAGCAAAATCTTATTCTAATTGCATTTGACAGCTCTCCAGTTTTTAGATTTTTAGACTGTTTTTTTGGCATTAGGAAAGGTTATTTTAGTTTTGACCTTATGATCTGTAGTTATCCTTGTTTTATTATTATTGTATTGGCGCACCTAACCAGACCTTTAAAATACTGTTTTTTTGTATGTTGTAAGCTTCTATAATAGAGTTTGCTCTGTATAAGAAGATAACATAAATTTACAAAAAATTGGCACTTTTCCTTCCTATCGAAAATTGCCTGGAATTCTAAAGTGGAATTTTAAAGAAATTTAGACTCATAAATGGCAGAGACAGTAAATTTTTTGTAAGCTTCTATAATAGAGTTTGCTCTGTATAAGAAGATAACATAAATTTACAAAAAATTGGCACTTTTCCTTCCTATCGAAAATTGCCTGGAATTCTAAAGTGGAATTTTAAAGAAATTTAGACTCATAAATGGCAGAGACAGTAAATTTTTTGGATGACATGACATCCTGTGTGAATCTAATATATAAACTTATGTGATTTCCCGTAAAACACCCAATAAGCATTTTTAAAGCACAGTTTTCCTCAACTTCTTCTAAGAAATAGCTCATTTTAACTTATAGCTGACAGTAACACAGTCAAAAGAAAAAAATGGAGTTTACTGCTTATTATATAAACCTAAGGAACCTTTAAGTTTAAAACTTAAATCTGGGTCACAACCTAGATTTAATTTCTTCTATAGCGTGGATGTGATTAATAGGACTTTGCCATATTATAATTTATACATAGCCCTTTTGGTCTCTTCTCTCCCCCAACACACATTTTTCATATGGGTGTTTGTTATTTGTCTTGTATCTTTTTTCCTATTTCCTCTTTTGTGATTGACATTTGAATCGATAAGTATGTGACACTGTCCATACCACTATCCATCCTAAGCTGTCCAACACAGTAGCCATCAGCCACATGTGGGTATTTAACACTTTGAAAAGGGGTTGGTCTGAACTGAGATGTCTATACTTGTAAATTATACACTGGATCTTCAATGGTTGGTAGAAAACAGAATGAAAAATTTATTCATTTTCTTATGTAAATTACATGTTGAAGTAATATTTTGGATATTTTATTATATCTTGTTTCCAGTTTATTGTAGTTCTTCAGGAGGGAAAAGAGGAGAACGTTACTGACAGTAAATTCTTTCCATGGGACAGTGGAGTTTCTCGATGCTACTGTTGCTGCTATACTCCCCTGACCGCTTTGTGTCCTAATAGATCCCATGGAGAGCAGTAATGGAAAGTCGAGTTTAGGGTTGTTCTGGCTTTGAGGTTTCTGCCTAATGGATGAAGGATTTAAAATGTAAATCATTATGTTTACATGACTTGTTTTTCTTTTAACTGGTATCACCATTAAATTCCATTGTATTTAAATGATGGCAGTGGTATTAGCTTCCACTTGCAAGATACTCAAATGTATAAAGGGACCAGGCAAGTTACAAAGGTACAAATTCATTCTATGTTAGAAAATGTTATAAATTCAGCTGATTGTTGCTTTATGGGATTATATGGATTTGTGTTGCCAGACCTTTCAGGTTTCTAAGAGGAACCAAAATCTGGATTTTTAAGAGTCTTAAATTTTCCAATTCTTAAATATCAACAAATAACAAAATTTTAAATACGAATGTAGGACAAACTAAAGATAGCTGTGGTCTGAGTGCTACTGCTTTGTAACTTAGACCTTCTTGGAAATAAATACAAGTTTTAGGTAGTTTAGATGACCTAATGAAAGTATATCAATTATAAAGAGAGGCTTAGAATCTCCTGCTGATGAATAACGTTTACATTTTACACTTTTTTAGAGAATATTGATCCCAAAGTAGTTACTAATTGTGTTTTAGATGGTTTCGAAATACTATGATGTAGTTTTGATGTATTTTTTGAGTATGTATTTCTAGCATGCTTTTATTTTCTATACGAATGTTATTCTGTTCTTTATGCCCTTTTGTCAGTTACTGTTCTGTAGTTAATTTTAATGAGAATTTAGTTTTCCAGAACATTTAGAAGGCCCATGCCCAGTTGCTTTTCTAATTTCACAGGGCTCCCTTTTCTGGTGTGTGCACTGTTCAGAAATATGGTAGGTTGCTTTCTAAGAGTTCCTGGCTCTGCTCTCCTCCCCCTACTTTCATCTAAACCTTCTTTTTCCTTTGTCTCTGTTGTTCCTCCCTGCCTAGTCTTCATTCTACTGCCAGCAGTGTCTCTTTAGTGTGGGCTCTGTGTTTGGAGAGTTCATGGGGTCTAGGTTTCTCCAGCCCCATGCCTAACAGCAGGCCTGCCTTGTACTTACCAAGTAACAGAGTGGGCTAAACCCTTCCCAGTTTCCACTGCTAACACACATTTGGCCCACAGTATTTTATTGTGAATGGCTGTTGGTGATTCCCCTGTTGCAGATTGCTCAGATGCTCTGTGGCTTCCCTGTGCTTTCTTAACACATACTGATAGTATACAGTTCTTGAGGCTAGTGGTAATTCATAGAGAATACTTTCTTGCATAGTTATATTGTAAATATTTCCTATGGGCTTTTAGATTTGCTATCTAGTTGCTCTGTTTTTATGTGGGAAGTCAGGAAGGTCCAAAACTGCTGCTTCTGTCCTCCCAGAAAATCCAGATGCACTAAATTTATAACCTGCTGCGTGGGGTGGTGGCACGAAGTCAGGCATGTTTGAGTGTCGCTTTGTTGCTTTGCCCCCCACGGATTTGTTACCCCACTTCCCCTGGGTGACAGAGATGCAAAGGATTATTCAAAGCCCATCTCTTCTGAGCAGTGGGAGACCCCAAAGTGGTTAATCTCCCACCAGAACCCTCAAGTGAGAGGCATCCCTTCCTTGGGAAATTAACCCTGAATTGGGGTTCTCTTCCTGCATTTATTTTCCAGACCAGGAAGTTACAGGAAGAGAACATAGGTGGGGTTATAGGTTAACAATATAGGCTGATAACTTTCAGTGAAACAAGCCAGATGACATTCCAGTAAGGCAATTAAGTGATCCACCAACAAAAGCTTGATCTTAGCGAACATTCCTTCTCCCTCCAGCAATTTTCCAGTATCTTTATATTTCAGTCAGTAACTCGTCTGTCCTTGAGCCAGCAACTTGCTGTGCCACAAATCTTTATCTTACACCAGAGACTTTATAGCCTGAGGAAAATTTCCAGTCCTCCTCAAGGTCAATATTTGAAACTGCAAAACTTTGAAAACCAGGCCCTGTGAAGTACATATGCTTTATAGTATACTCCACATTTGAGTAGGTTTACAAATTATTTTTAAGAACAGTAGTCATATTCTCTCTATAAAAGTCGGGGAAATGTTAAGCAGTCATTCACTGCTTCTTATAAAAAAGACTACCAGAAAAAAGTCATAGAAAACTTGAAGAAAAAGAATAAGACAATGTAGTTTATACTGTTGAAACTGGTTTGTGTTTCTGGCACTACGTAAACTCTGGCTCTCAACCAGAGACACATTATTATCAGCTAGAATAGGTTGTGTCTCTACCCTTTTGTGGCTCTATTCCAAATTTGGTGCACCAATCAGGTCTTGTAAACCATTGAAGGATTACATGAATTACTATTCACTGTTCAGACTTGGTCTTCACCAAGAAATTTTACTGAATATTGCTTGTCCTTATTCCCTAAATATAGATCAAATAGTAACATTTTAATTTCATTGAGAAGAGCTCCATGGAGCAATCTGTTTAGGGGCCAATTTGCTCAGTTTCATTCACAGAAAAGAAATACAGTGTTGAAATACACATCTGTTTCAAGTTCCTTAATCTACAAGACTCTACTCTCTCTTTATACTTTTTAGGATGATGTGTATATGCTCTGTTTTAGATGGACTTGCAATGCTACAGGGATCCTTAATTTTGGAATTTAACTTTCCGTATAAAAAGTTCAGTTCTCTGCCACACAGAATTTCAGCCATATGCTTGAGTTTTGTTTTAAGTGTAGATATTATGTTTTACAACATGAATATATATACTTTTTTTCTTCTCTCAATTTCTCTTTTAAGGTCTCAGCCAATTTCTTCTCCAGTCATCCTCCAGTTTGGTCATGCAGAGACCCTTCTTCCACTGCTTTCTCTCATGGGCTACTTCAAAGACAAGGAGCCCCTAACAGCTTTCAATTATAAGGAACAAATGCATCGGAAGTTCCGAAGTGGTCACATTGTACCTTATGCCTCAAACCTAATATTTGTGCTTTACCATTGTGAAAATGCTAAGACTCCTAAAGAAGAATTCCAAGTACAGATGTTATTGAATGAAAAGGTGTTACCCTTGGCTGGCTCACAGGAAAGTGTTTCTTTGTATGAGGATCTGAAGAACCACTACAAGGACATCCTTCAGAGTTGTCAAACCAGTGAAGAATGTAAATTACCAAAGGTGAACAGCACATCTGATGAGCTATGAGAAACTGGAGAACACTTTTAATTTATCAGGAATCTGTAGAGAGTGATTACATGCTTGTAATAGGTAGGCAATCCCTTGATTACAGAATGCTTTCACGTTAGTTGGACATTTCTGTCTTTTCACAGAAAAACATTGAGTTTCTTTTTGGGTCTGGACAAAATATGTAAGAAATGATTCTTCACTGGAGCAGGTCTCTTAAGGGGAAAAAAATCTATTCATAGAAACAGCTGGCACTGCAAATGTTTACAGAAATGAAATTCTTTCTACTTATACAAGAAATCTCATACTGAGATAGAAATATGATTTCAAAGTGATACTTGAAAAGTGCTAGAGTAACAAAATGTAATCACGATTGGATGATCCATAATTTGATGGAACTAAATCTAGGAACTCTACCAGTTGTGCTGCAGTGCTCTCTTTGCTCCTCAGGTAGGACAGTTCTAGTATTAATTGTCTTTCTTAATCAGAAATGTTGTGAGAAGCTGGGAATATCTCTTTGGAAGAAAGCTAACATCTCTCTAGATGAGAGTTTGAAACAATGTTAATAAACAGTCTGTTAAAATAAATCAGACACCTTTACTGAAGCAAGACAAAAGTATATTAAAATAAATATTTTTGTAAATAGTATTTATAAAATATCTGAACACTTTTTCAATAATTACTTTTAACCTCCTAGTAAGACTTGCAAGGCCATCTTAAATTATCATACTTGTTTTGCATATATAGAATGGAAGGACAAAGAGGATCGTAGCAACAAGTCAGATGGGTAGAATCAATGTTTCTTAAATCCATTGTTTAGCTATCTTTTCCATTCTGTCACTTCGCTTCTATTTTTATATTTTGCTATTATATGAAATGTATCTTTTGGTTGTTTGATTTCTTTCTTTCTTTTTTTAAATCTTACACTGGCTGGCTCAGTTTCACAGATTTGAACCCATTTCAAAGAAATAGTTCTGAGTTCTGTCAAAAGGCCATGAAAGTATTTGCGGCTGGCTGGTTGGCTCAGTTAATTAGAGCACAGTGTTGATAACACCAAGGTCAAGGGTTTGAATCCCCTTATTCATCAGCCACCAAAAAAAAAAAAAAAGGAAGAAGAAGAAGAAAGTATTTAAGTATTTGCTATAATAAACAAAATTCTTGTGACTTTACTACCAGGTCTTTTCTGCTCTGCATGTCAAAATACGATCAATAATTGAAGGGTAAACGTTGGAATTTCAGTCACCCTTTACTCAGTCAGGCAATATAAGGCAATTTTCTTCTAATAGAAATTTCCTTAAATGGATTATTGTGAATGCATTTTATTTTCGTTAACATTCACTGATTTAGGATTTTTGTTTCAAATGTGTGGTTATTCCTATCAGACAATACACAGTAAAATCTCAATTTTCTGGAGTTGACTATGTTAATTTTTTAGTAGTTTACTTTTGAGGGACCATAGGAAAACAAACACATATGAAGGACATGCATATGTCTATGTTCACATTGTCATGTATGACTTGGATTAGGACACTTTCAGTTGATAAAAGTGTAAAAATTAGTTTTGGGTTTAAAAAAAACTGAAGTAGGATCTTGTTTAGCACCAAGACTCAAAACATTTTCTATTTAATGCTTAGTCAATCAAATTTTTAGTCATCGAAGCTATCATATGCTAATTTAGGAATATTAAATGCTTTCTCTTTGTAAGAAAGCCGCTTGTTGCTTTCACTTTTACAAAATATGACTGGGGCACTTTTAAAATTATATCATATTAATCACTGGGTTACATGACGTTGCCAATGCCTTTTTACATAGATTTTCTACTTTTAAAAAAGGATTGAAGAGTAAGTAAAAGAAACAAGCCAGTGTTTGGGGGCTATAAATATAGCATATGTGCGACAAAAAGATGAAGAAGGACCATTTCAGCATGGCATTTTCAGAAACTGAATTATTCCAGAATGGCAAGTATTCAGAAATGGATACGATATAGATTAATTCAGATATTCTCCTCAGAGCACAAATTCTAGAAGATATTGTAGAGATGTTACAAAAAAAGGATCCCAGTTGAAATGACCATGGGAAACTTGGAGTTCGCTTTCCTATGGAATGTCTCAGGCTTTTAACATGCTCGCTTTGTGACTACAAGGAGGCATTATATAGTAGGTTGCATTTTCCTCTTTTGTTTGACCTGAGAATTATTTTTCAAGAAGCGGCTCCTATGACTATGGCAAATGAGAGTATGCTCTGAAAATTTTGGGTTAAATCCAGAATACATACCATTTGGGTTTGTTTCACGTAAGAGGATGGTAGCTCATGGGATTAAATACACATGGGAAATAAAAGTGTGCTCAGTTGTAAATTAGATCAAGTAAAATGGGTGGGATCATTACAGTTTTATCTTAAAAAATATTGTTTTGTAATTTAATTTTCAGTTAAAGAAAAATGGAAATCCATTTTATTAAAAATATAAAAAGTATCACAACTATATATTGAAATTCTAAGAAGATGCATAGATCATTGATCTTCAAATGAATGATGTTCATAAAGTAGTCGATTAGCCAATAAATGCTGCGGGTACATCAGTATATACTCACTGCTGATGGTTTCTGCAAAGTTCCGGTGTCCTCTTTTTTCTTTTTTTTTTAAATTTGTAACTATGCAGACAAAAAGAATATAATAATGTGAACCTATACCCATACTGTTTTATCAAAATTAACATTGTATCATTTGTCTTAGATCCATATAAGAGCCTTTTTAAGGACTTTTACATACCTGCCTGATCCTGTTGCCCTCACTACCTGCCTAGAAGTAACCAACAACATAAAATTCAATGTTCATCATATCATTGCCTGTTTGACTCTGAAAACTTGTAGTATTGTTGTGGAAGTTTTAAAATTTTCTATAAATGGACTTTATGTGTCATTCTTGAATAAGTGGTTTATTTTGATGGCTATATTTGCTTTTCAAGACTCTTCTTGATCCTCATCAGTCTGTTGCAAATCAATACATTGAATTCATCAATATCTGTTGTAAACTTTTTGTTTACAAACACTAGACCTAGTCTGTGGACATATAAAGATGAGTGAACCTAGTTGTTTTATTGAAGAAGGTTATCCTTTTTTTTTTCAATCGTTATACAATGTAACCATTTTCATGGCCCTTTCTTCCCTCCCTCTCCCCCTTTACACCCCCAACAACCTCGATTCTGTTCTCTTCAAAAGTTCAATGAATTATTGTGATTGTTATATCTTTTTTATTTATTTTTATTAGTTCTCACATATAAGTGAGAACATGTGGTATTTCTCTTTCAGTGCCTGGCTTATTTCACTTAACATAATTTTCTCTAAGTTCATCCATGTTGCTGCAAATGGCAGTATTTCATTCTTTTTTATAGCAGATTAGAGGGTTATCTTAAAAGACCTCAAAACAAATTTACTTGTGTCTGACATATTAACTGTGAATAATTTTTTTGATTCTTCAAATATCTTATAAAATATCAAAGACTGCAAAAATTTTATAGGAATTGTTTAATTTCATTGTCAAATAGGACCAAATAGTCATCTTTGACTATAGAAAGATGAATGTAAAATATTTCAGTATGGAGGGTAAACGTGATCCATTTTTGCTAATGTTAACAGAGTTGATAATCTGGTGCTATTATTCTCATTTAGGAAATTCCCGAAACTAAAGAATCTCAGGATGAAAACTGTGATAGTATATATGAAGAGTTGAACATCGAAAAATATTTGGTTAACAAGGGTTCATTCATAGTAGGTGACCAAAACTACTCAATCCAAAATTTAATCCTATTGGGTCTGATAGAATTAATCACATTGTGGTTGATTAATTAATGCCTATGAACATTAGCCATGTTTCTGTGTAATCTACAATTTTATGTGTGCACTGCATTGCACTTACTGATTTTTTATGGTCATGTCATCATTTTGAAGTTTCTGCTCTCCAACACAGTCATTGACTTGATACTGTTTTTGTATGTAATCTTGATCTTAATTTTAATACTGTAAGCAAAACTCAGTGTGTAGAGAAAAAAGTGCTTCTTTTTTTCCCAAGCATAATCAACTTTCATGATAGTGTTTGAGTGCTTTCTTTTTGTAAACTGCAGAACTGATGCATGCCCTTAAATAATTGGGAGTTACATACAACTGAACCAGATTATAAATTGTAATTTTTTGGAAAACATTTCTCTAAGATAGTATTTCATGTGGTTTGTTAATGATACTTGGAATTTGAACTGTTTTTTGCCAAATGTAGGCTGAAAATAAATATTTGCATTACTATATAATTTGCTTAAATCTGGCTATTACCCTGAACTTATGACAGATCACTCATTCTCTCCTAACCATTCTTTTTCTGTCACTCACTCAAGTGCTTCCTTCTACTCATTTGGCAGCCTATTCTACTCTTGAGCATCCTCACATCAATCTATTTAGCTATTTCGTGTGTATGAAAGTAATAGTTTTTTGAGACAATCCCATAGCAGGAAAAGAGATGTCATGTTTTCTAGTTAAAGATTTTCAGTTTGAGCTTCATACTAGGCAACTTGGGAGGAGGTTAACTTTTAAAACTATTTTATCATTACCTTTTAATACAGAAGGATTCTTAATTTTATTATTTATAACACTAGCCTCAATTCAACATCTTCCTTGTGCTGTATTCCTAGATTTTAAACCACCTTTAGACTGAAACAATTCATGTTCAGACTTTTGTTTATTGTACTGGGAGAACAAATATTTGTTCATTAAAATGCTGCCGTCTGAATTCGGTAATACTTCCGGTATAATAACAAAGTTTAATTAGAATATCTATATTACTTTATTTCTAAAGTAGCTAATGTGGAAAATTAGGTTGGGATGAAAATCTACAGATTTTTTTCTGCTTTTTTTGTTAGTTCATCCTACCAAGCTTGGGTCAGGTTGTCTTTTTTTTTTTTTTTTTTTTTTTTAAGTTTTTATTAGCATATTTATTGTTACAAATCATACTTATTTTTTATGCACCTTATCCAGTCTCTTCTGTTCTCTCTTCCCCTCCCCCTCTAATAACCATAGATTTGTTCTCTCCGTTTCATAGATCAACTGTTCCTCTGTTGGTTTGTTGCCTAGATGATCTGTCCAGTACTGAGACAGGTGTGATCAAGTCTTCCCCGATTATTGTAAGTCAGATGCTGCTTCTGGTACTCTGGAGCATGCTCTATGGAGAAAGGGGACCTCCTCTCCTTTCGTTTTTTTTGGTCTCCACTGGTGCCTCTCCTCGTGTCAATGCAGTTGAGAGTCTGGCATGCCTTCTGCATGGTGGCTGTGACTGCTACTATAGAGACTAGCCGCTTTGTGGCAGCCATGGCAATTGTGGTGGCTGTGGTGGGCTACCTGCATGAAAATGGTGTTTTGGGTGCGCCCTTTACCTGGTTGCAGCTGGGTTTGGCTTCTCCTGGCTCCATGCCTCAAGGCCCCGACAGGGCTCCGGGGTGGTGGTGGCTGTTTGCATCGTTGCAGCTGAGATCAGCTTCTGCCAGCTCCATGCCTCATTCTAAGATGTTTTTGTGGAGCAGTTGCAGGGGAGCAGAGAAGGGAAGGGGGAGGGGCAATAGGGTGGGTAGATGGGGTAGGGGAGGGAGTATGGACCCCCCTTATTCT